ATTTTGATCAAAATGTGGTCTGACTTTAGCAAATGGAGCACTAAATAGGAAAGAGCTTGAATCTTTTTTTGGCTCTCAAAACTTCTCTAAATTCCGCAGTAAATAAACAACGTGTATCAACTAAAGGAAATCGTTGTCGCTAATAATCTTGGGACAAAGTAGCGAGGAAACACGAAAAGCTCATTCCCTCTTTAGGCCTAGGTGTAACTTTCCTTCTCCGCTAAGGTAATCCCAGTTACCACAAGGGTTCCCTGGAAGGACCCCCTAAAGGTTATTAGCACCGACTCATCAAATGCTCAGCAAGAATCAATTTAAAGGTATGCTAAATAGAATAAAATGAATCCCATTGTAACATGTGATTCATGTTACAATGGAATGTTACATGTTATTAATAACCCAAAATATGACAAGTTCTGATAAATGAAGCAGCTGAAGAGGGTAACTTACTGCTGTAGATTTCATTAAACTGCCCAGATGCGCGTGAAGAAACCAAAAGCGCTCTGAGAAAAGGTGTGGATGCCGTAATGTCACATTTCTGGAAGCAAGATGAACCTGAAGCAACTTCGAGTTTGAAATAACGAGAGCACTTACCTTTAGAACCAACAATAAAAAAGTTATATCATTCGCAGTAAATTTGCAGGAGCCATCCTTTTGAACAAAGCTCACAGAATCCGAGATATAGGACTGAAAACACGTCAAATGATCACAAGCAAAAGAAACACGAAAAAAACAACACAGAAAAAGCAGTAGTAGGTGCTGCTGTAGTGAGGACAAGACTACGTTTTGGCGTGATCTATTCTTCTCGCCCATTTCCTCCAAATAAGACAGTGATCCCTTAGTACCCGGTTTCTAGGGGTTCCTAAGTTCGACTTTGCGACTGAGCAGATATGATGATTCGGTAGATTGAGCGATCCGGCGATTAAAAGCTCGGAGATCGCCGAACCCCTGAATCTTTGCAGTTGCTAGCGAGCGGCACTGTTGGGTACCCATTCACTATTTCGGCGAGCAATCGCCGGAAAGGCCTATTCTTCCAGACGGCGCATCGCCGGATCTCCGCAATTTCCATCCGATTACCATTGATACCTACACTTTCTCTAGTGGCGCAATCTCTCCTCACTGGAAATCTGTCCTTGAGAAGTAAGGCGAGATATATAAACTCCACTGAGGTACTGGTTATGGCAGTATCTAGATAGCTCTTCAGCAGAGGCAATACGGTCTGAAAATTGTTTTCAATTACGTCAAATCAATATAGTAAATGAGACGTGGCTGTAATAGTTACAGTTCAGCCGCGCCATGAATCGGCGCAGACAGAACTGAAAAAGACCGAAGAAAATAAAATAAAAAATCCGCCCATCTGATTAGCGCGGTATGTCTCCTCTTGAATGGTGGAAGGGGAAAAAGAAACAACAACCAATGACTAACAAACCGATTTGAATCTCTTTTTCTCCATCTCGATGGCAATTTCAGCCACAACTTGTATCACTGACATTCCTAATGTTGGATATGCTCGATAAACCTCGAGTTCCCTCTCGATCAAGAATGCCTCGACCTGAAGCAAAGGAAGAAAGGATCTTGAACAACTGAAACAACACTATATCAGTTGACACTTTGTAATAACACAACAGTAAGAGAACCTTCCTTATTCTCAGTTGGTACCAGGACGCATTAGAGTGAGTCAGAGACGGAATTCTTCCCCTTACTTTTCTAACAATACCGGCCTCCCTTTACACGATTTGATAAGTCAACCTTCCCTCCTAACCAGATCTGGGCACATCCTGCCGTTGGGAAGAGTTTCTGAACACCAATTCCTCTTCTGATACCTGCTAAGGACTCCCCCTTCGTCACCCCATCTTCCTGCATGTTCCTACCACTTTTCGGAGTTATTTTTTTCGAGCTCCACTTTCCCCTCGAAGAAGTGCACTGAGCGGAGGGGGGGGGAAGGTGGGCACTTTGAACAGGAAAAAAAACCGAGGAAAGTCAGCAACCAAAGGCATTTTTCTCAGAGGCAATTACGATCCCCTTCGCTGGGGATCCCCAACATACAACATGCCCTGATCCAGACTTCCCTTCTACCCAACCTCCACCGCACCTGCGAACCAACCCTCTCCCTTCCCTAACAAATTCTTTTTATGACTGTCGCTTCGCAAACTCAGCGAGCTCATTTTCTAAAGAAGAAGCCGTACAAACCTCCGTATATACTTTCGACTGAAAGATAGCATATGCCAACATATGGCGACCAATTGCATTTGCAGATCCACTTTCCTTGAATAAAGAACGTGGTCAGCTACTGGGAAGGAGATAATTACTATAACAAGAAAAACCTTATCGTGGAAGATCCAGTTTCTTGGTGGCCAACTCGAAAAGCCTCTCCACTGTCCATGACTCGTGGAAATCGGATAGCAGGACAACAAGGGCGGTAGAATATCTGCAGACAATAAAGAAACACTAAAACTCTCAATTTGATCACTGCACCTCTGAACCCTTTTAGAAGCACCTAAACGTAACGTACGCGATAGCCACTTGCAGTTTGTGGGGCAGGAAACATTGTAAGAGAGATATCAGTAAAAAAAAGCAAATCAAACCATCGAAAACGCTCTAAAAATCACCATTTGTGCAGTGAATGGCCCCAATGCGCCGTAAAGTGCCGCTTCCTCCGGTCAAGAGTGCACGGAAATGGGGCTAGAGGATGGTGATACCTGGGTGCCGTCGCCATGCTCCGCCCTCGCTACTGCACGTCCAGCCACACGCCTAATATAACCGAACGCGCTGCATTGGCTGTTTTCTACCGCTGGGTGGGTGTTTCGCTTGGAACCGAAGCAAAAGCTGCACTTTGAAGATAGCGCTCACTGATACGATGAACGGAAAAAGTTTCACGCTACCGCAGCTGCGGACCTGTCCTCGTGCGTGGCAAGGACCGTCCTCGAAGGATGCACATTTTGTTCCAAGGGTGAATCCTTGGCTCGCGCTATGTGAGCATAACATAGAAAGCTGAGTGTAGAAAAGAGAAGCAGGCCATGATCCACGACAGCCCGCAGACTGACTCGCGCCCAAGAGAGATGTTTCACAATCTTCGGCGCTCATACGACCACAGTCGGCCCGCCACTTTCCAGATAGGTGGCTCAGCAGGTCTTTCTGCCAACTCAGACTTAGACAGGTGTGGTCTAAGTTGTGAAAGTGGGCAAAAATTTTTCACAACTTAAAGCACACCTGCATTCGCCATACACGGAAAGGAGTTCCGCCATATGCGGAATCGTGGTTAGAGGGAGCGTTTCTTCCATATCACAAACCTGAACGAAAGGAACAATCACATGAAAATGTTGGCTATCTTTGTCAGTGAGGTGAGAACGGAAGGGATATCATTCAACAGATTCATTGCACCCTTATAGATTTTAAGGCGGCAAGATTCCTCATACCCTTGATCACAAAAATTTTTTGATTACGGGCTCCGATTCTTCATTGAATGAAAATGTTTGTCGCGGTTCCGAATGCACTCACTACTCTCCATCAAGTGCCCCAAGTCCCTGGAATAGCAGCGAACTTTTACTGAAGTTTTACCCAGGCTAAAGTCCCACCAATAGTTGTTAGTCCGCCCCCCCCCCCAGCCTACAGCCTAGTTCATTCTGGCATCCTTTGACACTCCCGGCAAACATCGATGCTCCCAAAATAGTTTTAGCCGTGTGTGATGATTCAGTTGCAGAAGAAAACGAATTGCATGAAATTAAACAACCCAAATCGCGCAGCTCCTCTTGGAGAACTCAGCCCAGTCACTAGCCGTTCGATGCAGTAGTCCACGACTGACGAGTCTGATTTCTATGAAAACAGTCCAAAATAAAAGGAAAAAAGAGACATGTATCGAAATACTTACGACTTTTGAAACAAGGCGACCAACAGCATTTACTCTTTTACTAGCGTCGAATTCCGCAAGATCGTAGAACTCATTCAGAACGTCAGCAGAAGGACGCATCTCCGAAGCGACGGAATCGTCGAGTAGTGAATATTCTTATTTGTGATAATAAAGCCCTTATGGAAATAAAACGAACGGGGACAGTCGCGATAGAAATCGGATCGGCAAAATAGCGACCGCATATTCAGATTACTATCATTGGCCAATTGGGCGATTGCGGCCAAACCTTTCAAGAACGTCACATTTCTGGAATTCCTCAAAATATTTGTTTTATTTCATTTCGTTCACTTTCTTGTTCTATTCTTCCTTTCTACTTTTATGAAGCTTTCTTGGATGGCTTACCTTTTGCTATAGTCCATGGAAACTGGTTCTGTTGTCAAGAAGCACGTTTTTATAGAATTTGGGTAACGCTTGAGTTCTTTTCAGGTTATAGAGCATGATACTGCCTCAGTTAAAGGAAGCGAAGCATGTGTTGACTCTATATCATCTTCTGAATACACTTCTCTCCGTTACTTTCCTATGCACGAAAGGTGTTCCACAGATTTGTGAATGGATATTCATTTCCGAACACGGGGAGTGCGCACTTGACTCGGTAGGCTTTATTATGTTTCCTCAGTTCCCTTGCTTTTTAATTTCAGATTTGCAGCATTTTGCTGATCCTTCTTGAATTTTCACCTTTTATCTAGTTTTCGAGGTAATTTAATATTAATTGAAGCGAGAACGCGAGATTCTGATGTTTTTGGCCGTGATTATTGCCTGGAAAGGAAGAAAAGCGACAAACTGGCTCCACTACATTAATAACGCATTCCTGTTCTCTAAAATTGCCAACATTGCTTTATTTTTACGGGCAGATGCCTTCGTTGGAGTAATATATCTACTTATTGTTGTTGGTAAGACACACTCATACTTTATAACAGCTGTTCTGTCGGTCATTCTCTCATTTGCAGTGATTACTGTTTTGATACCAGAACCTGTTTATAGTGGACCAGAGAAAATCACTTATTTCCAAGGAACAGAATTATTTGTAGGTGGATAAGCTTCTTTTTCCAAGTTTGTGCTTACAGTGTTTTTTGCCGTTGCAGGAAGAGTTGGACAGAGACCGTAAATCGATATTCATTATTCAATTTTACACCACCTGGAGCCCTGACTGCAAGCATGCTACGCCTGTGTTCGCTCAACTTAGTGAAAGGTAAGGATATGCTCACACCGTGACACTTGAGAATAGCGGAATCGGCAGATTCGAAGATTCCCTGGAAATGATTGGGCCTACCGTTTGATCCTCCATTTCTTCGCGTACGCGGAGTCAGTCGAAGTGTATCTTATCTTTTAAGCTTTGCAGCTCTCCAGTGTTGCAAGTGTAGACGCTGTCGAATAAAAGTTGTAGTAGCTTCCACAGGGGAAGACTGTGTTCCATACTCGCAGATGTTTTTATGGGAACCATTTTTTGAGTCCTTTTCCTCCAATTTTCTCTTTACAGGCGATCCCTCACATTCCTCCAGTGGAAGGAATCCTCCTACTCGTTCAGCTCGCTTGCCCTACGGTTTCGATTCTGACGCCATATCGCTTACTTTTTTTATTTTCTTCTCGAACATGGCCTCGTTATTGGGCTGAATCTAGTACTTCAAGGGTTGCAGTCGTAAAGAGTGACACAGCACCGCCAGCTGCTCTCTAATTGCTCTTTGGAAGTAAAACTGTATAGGGGCAGGCCCCTTGGAGGAGCTTTCGAAACGCTTCCTGTGCAAAACGGGGATCATTCTGCAAAGAATTTGCTCCACCAACCCACACTCTCCACTCTTTAGACTTATGGTTAGGCGAAAATCCTCTTTTGCTCACAGCAACCCTAGTTCGGAGCAGGGGTCATAAAGAAGCCCCACTGCTGGACTTGCAGCGATTTTGTCTTAAAGATCTTTGCGTCGCTATTACAAACTGAAACATATGTACTTGACGATGCCTATTTAAGTTTTGTTGATTTACCCTGTCTTCTTTCTGGAGGCCGAAATTTTATTCGAGGTTTTGTCTCGTAGAGGTGTTGTTTGCAGATTTTCCCTGCCTAATCTGCGTTTTGGGAAACTTGACATTGGACGTTGGCCAAAAGAAGCAGAGCGATTCCGTGTTAATGCCCATCCCACATCTAGGCAACTGCCCACTGTCTGCGTTTTCAAGTAAGTTTCTTTGGCAGAATTTCCTTGCAGGGAGACAGTTCTATTCCTGTTCTTAACCTGAACCTTTTACGTTCAGAGATGCTAAAGAAATAAAACGAAGACCACTTGTCAGCGAGAAACGACGAGCGATACCTTTTATATTCAACCAAGTTGGCTTTTTAAGATTGAAGTTCTTGATTTCCCCTCACTCATCGTAAAACTTTCAGGATAATTGTATATTAGACTTTGATCTGCTAAATATGCACAAAGAATGCTTGGAGCGTCTGTCTTCCAAAGACAGGAAAGAAATCGAAGAGGAGAAGAAGTCGCGGTGACCACTGCCCTGTTCTCTAGGTTCTGTTCTGTACATACTAGAACTAGACTTGTTGTCAGCTTTTTCTAGTAAACCTATTTCTGATTTAAGTGTAATACTACATGTTTTGATCGATGCCGTATGCTAATATTTAAGAATGCACTACCACTTTTTTCAAAGTACTTTTTTCTTCAAGTCAATTCTTGATTAGTTGACTAGAGCTAAGATGTTCATCCTTCATCAAGTCGCTGTTCAAGGGTTGCACATTGTTTCACTCGCTAAGAGTGTGCGTTGATAGCAATAAGTTATGGAATTTTCATTCAATAGAGAGTGCCGTTTTTGGTACCTTTCCAGTTGATAATGAAGTCGTATTAGGTTGATGCATATGTTTTAACCCCGACTTTTTTGTAAATATCTCAAAAGCGAACCAGCCTGAAGATTAGTGTATGCACCATCACCATCCACTACTCGACGCCAGCGCTCAGGCAGCTTGTCGATTCCATCCTTCCAGAACGAGCTGGGACTTGAAGAAGTCGTCGAGTGCCTTTCTGACCTGATCCTTTGTTTCGAACTTTTTTCCGTCCAGATAGCGCTGCAGGTGGCTGAACAGCCAGTAGTCAGAAGGAGCGAGGTCAGGGCTGTAGGGAGGGTGGGCGACCATCAGCCATCCGTACTTCTCCAGCTCGGCCTGGGTCGCCTTTGCAGTGTGAGGTCGGGCGTTGTCATGGTGGAAGTAGATTTCCGCATTCCTTCCACGAGTACGGTCGACGTGATCTTTCAATTTCCGCAGCTGGGTACGTATGTGGAAGCGTCAATCGTCTGTCCCTTCTCCAGCAGCTCCCAGTACTCCATGCCTCTTCTGGACCACCGAGTTGAGAAAGTGAAGCCTCTTTTGGAAAGTGAGGAGAGAAGTGCAGGTGGTCACCCTCCTCGAGAGGTCATAAGCGGACAGTTCATGTGGGACCCATCGACCAAGCTTTGCTACCTTGCCGAGCTTTTCTAGTCCACGTGCAACCGTCGAATGATCATAGCTAAGCATGGTCGCCATTTCTCTGGTGGTGAGGTACGGGTCCTCCTCCACGGTGGAACGTAGTACTTCCAAATCCAACTCCATCGGCCGACCCGACCTCGGAGCATCTTCGAGAGAAAAGTCTCCTTTCTTGAATTTGGCGAACCAATTCTTGCATGTCATGTAAGAGATGACGTCCTCACCGTATGTATCCACCAGCTTGGTATGGGCTTCCTTTGCATTCCAGCCGAAATCGTGGAGCAAAACCAGGCAGTGGCGCAGGTACATTCTGTCACAGTGGTAATTGTGCGACATTGTGGCCTGCAAATGCAAGGTGGGTGAGTGATAGCTAGTGTGATAAAAGAGTATAATGCACACGTCACGCACACGTGATGACGAAATACCAACATCCATGCAAACGAAATACGGAAGGATCAAACACGGGGTTAAAAACATATGCATCAACCTAATAGTAGAGGGGTCTCGCTCTATTCCTCTCCCCTAGCCTTGAGTGTGACATATTCATGTGGCATGTTCGATGCGGATGCTGGGAATTGTCTGGAGAGGCTCTACTTGGCGCGGTATCTGCCCTCCTGACACGCACTAGCGTCCGCAAACAAGACTGATTTCAGCACTTATACCGTCATATGAATGTATCGCTTATCGAGTCGTCAAGTCAACTTGAAACCACAGTCCGCCATTAATCGGCGTGCGGAAGCTCTTCCTTTGAACCTTGTGCTATAGTACCGCTTGAGGTGGGGGGGGGGGGTCCCGTCCTCGTATTCTACACTTCCCCGGGAGATTGGGGGAGATCACACCCACCGAATCAGGGGATATCTCTTCAACAACGAGTGTTGAGGAAGATATCCCCGGTACGATAGGAACGTGCTGAACCATTCTTTGGATTTTTAGATGAGTCCCTTCATGGCCCTGTCCGGATCGTAAGCATTTCCGCGACACAACATTGCGATAACCGGTAAGGAAAAAGCACAACTGGTGGTAAGCGAAACCGTTATTTGTACACAACGTTGGACCTTGCCCCTTGAGTTTAGGTGGACAGTTTTCCATGCGGCTATCGCACTGGTTGTGGTCCGATTATGGAATTCTTTGGCACGATTTGCGTTTTTTATGAAAAAAATGAAAAGTCCTGGCCCTGGTGCAAAGAGAGTTGGCCAGCCCAGATTTTTCCATAGTAAATAATTGACTTACTTCAATTGCTCTCTAAACCAGGTTTTTCGATCCAATCTCCAAAAAAGCGCTTTGTGGGACGGTCTGAACTGTATGAGTACCGCGCTTGTGGCGTTCAAGAAAGCGCGCGTGTCCCACGCGGCCAAAAAGTAAAAACGCGCGTTGTCGTCAACGTGTTAAATTTAAATCACAAGCGACTAAACGAAACATTTCCAATATTCATACGACTACTGCAGTATACATGGAACCAAATAGTCCTTCACTCGGCCATATGTTCCGCATGGACTGCTATGATGTTCACAGTATATAAAAAAACAAAATTCGAAACAACAAACAAGCACAATCTCAGCAACAATTCTGCGAATAAACAGTCTCAGGGAAGTCAGTCGGGGCGTGTCGACTCTGGGTCCAGCGCCTGCCCCTTCCCCGCTTAAAGGCCCAACGCGCGATGGGAAACGGGTACTGCCGCAACAAACCGTGTCTTAGCCCTGGCCGACTTCAGTGATAGCGACTGCAAGGGAAGCTGTTCTTTTCGCGCTTACGGTGAACCTTGACCATTGAAGAAAACGCTGCAACGTCCGGCCCAAACAGTGAATAAATTGTTTAGCCTAAGAACGAAAGGCAAGACAATAAAAACAATTCAGACAACAACGCTCGGATCCCAGCACGCCTTGTGGCATTTGCCATTTTTCCAAAGCTTTTCAATGTCTTCCGGAGAAATCCGGACGTTTTTCGCTGCAAAATTTTCAATCGTCCTTTCACGTGAGGTGCTGCGAGGCAGGACGCTGATTGACTGTGATATGGCCCAAGAGAGTAGGAATTGTGGGACAGTGATTTCATATTTTTCGGCGAGTTCAATCACGTCCGGATCACCAAACAGCTCGTCACGATAGTCCGGTCCTCCGAAGCTGCTGTATGCCTGAAACCGCGCGAATACACGCCGAACAAAAAAAATAACAAGTAAGAAAAAGACAAATTTGTAGTCAATGAATATTCATAGGGGAGGATTGCGCGACTGCCGAGTCGCTGACGCGTGCGGCCGCGATGCAGCTAACCCTGCCTACTACTATGTGGCTACAGTGATGTTCTGCGTGATTAAAAAAACGGCGCAATGGGCCTTGGGAGGGGCCAGGTGGCAATATTGCATCGAGGCCCTGGTAGCTTGTACTAAAACTTGTGGGACCTTTCTTTCTTTTCCTTTCTTCCTTTCCTTTTCCTTTCCTTCCTTCGTTCCTTCGTTCGTTCGTTCGTTCGTTCGTTCGTTCGTTCGTTCGTTCGTTCGTTCGTTCGTTCGTTCGTTCGTTCGTTCGTTCGTTCGTTCGTTCGTTCGTTCCTTCCTTCCTTCCTTCCTTATCGCCTCTCCGCCCCTCCCTAACGTTACAGGCTACTATAGCGCTAACGGGAAGTTGCATACAGGCTTCTACGGCGTGCTTAGCGCCAAACTAGTAAATAAAAGTCAAGCGAGCATTCAAGGATCGCACACGGAGGGGGATGTCGTATCAGGGGTGATAGTTGTCTTATCGTAAGAGAGAAATGTCCGGCTGTTATTTTTATTTTGCTTCCTCCTGCTTTGGGTGCGTTATACTTCCTTTTCCTCCCTCTTCCCGTCCGCCTCCGCCTGCATGATGGCAGTTTTTTTTTGTGGGGGGGGGGGGTGAGGGGAGGGGAATGGTAGTTAGCTTGGAAGACTCAGGAAGATTTCGGATGGGATGTGGAAGAGGGAGACCAGAAAAGGCAGTTTCGAGGGGATCGTAGTTTGCAAAAATTTTCCTCAACAGCAGGACGTGCTCTGATCGCACAACTGATCAGTAACAGAAAACCGATTATCGACTTGAATACTAACCTGAAAATGAATATCGTGTGACTTGCAGTAGTCGAAGAGGTCTAATTGATGGAAATGTGGATGAAATTCTACCTTAAAATAAAAGTCAGCAGAAAAACTCTGGAAAACAAATGAAAAGAAATAGAGAATTCTAATCAAGGGTGAATTACCTGATTTAGAGCCGGATGAACTTTACAGTGTTCAAGTAGCTCCTCCAAATGCCGAACCTCATAGTTTGACACACCAATCGAACGAAGTTGACCACTGGCTGAAGAAGTATGTCGGTCTCGACTGTAAATTTCTAAAATATGACCGGATGCCAAGCTGCACTCCAGGGTCATTTCCAACGCTATGGCGCCAGTTATCAGTTTTTAAACGCAATTTTTCGTATTCTAACATTCACGGAGACTAGCAAGAGAATCGTAATCTTTCGCTCCACCGCGCGCGGCGATGGATGCGGCGTTTTCTTAACTCGTGTTAACCTGTCGACTGGAGCACCGGACTTCATGTAGACCCCGTCATCGTAGACATTCATGACTATTTTCGGTTCTGAATTGCCTGTTGTCGCCATCTACTACCTGGAACCATCGTCGTTTGCAGGCGCGACGTCCACCAGCACGCGTACTACGATTCTCCTGTCACATACCCAACATTCACAATTTGCTGGGGGTACCACAAACGGGTGGATGGCAGTAGTAGTGTAGCAACAAGTGGCGCCATTTGCCATGTGCTTGGTCCTGGAGTCAGTGCGAAGATCAGCTCCCTTTTAGGTCAGCTGAGCCGCCCTTACATCCGAGACTGTTCGTCGGTATCCGACGATGAACGAGAATGGATGCACTGACTAAGCTGTATATCAACCAGTTTTGCAGGTCGCTGTTTTGGCGAAATCCGACAAGCAAGGATTTGGTGCTTTTTAATGAAAATCGAATGCATGACGTAACTCGAGGAGGAGCGCATTTCAGATTGAGGAAAGGGGGGGGGGGTGGAAGTGCATTTTGCGCTTTCACTACTTCCCATCGTCATGTCGAGTCATCAAGTATAGATCTGTGAAATCTTATAAAGCCATGAAGTGATACCAGTCACAAATTTGTATTAGGTTGTCCGGAAAGTTCTCAGCGTGTTGAGTGTTTTTTTGAACGATCATAACTTTCTTAATACTCATCGGATTCAATCGAAATAAGCACCTTTCGAATCAGCACACTTTTGCCAATGT